AAATTGCTTCAATAAATAAAAAATAAGTTTTATTTAATATGTGCCTTAAATGTAATTATTGTAGTTTTTAATATTATTAATTAATATAAAAAATTAATTTTTATTTGAATAATTTTTTAATTAAATAATTTATATAATACTAATAATAAAATTAAAAGTAATTTTTATATATTTATTATTTCTAATTAACATTAAAAGGACTATTTTTTTTATAAAGATAAAAAGCACCAAATAATATTAAAAAAAAAGTATAAAAACAACCGCGTTGTGCACATGTTATAAAATAAAATCCTGTAAAAGAAAAGCTTTAGGTAATATCATTTTATTAGTTTTTTAATACAAAAAGACCATCGCTCTTCGTAACCTTTGAGGAAAGCGAGACAATCCCAAATCCAAAAGACGTCCTGATATCATCCAACGACTCTTCACTGTACTTTGGAAACTGGACGGAGTAGTCAATCAAAGTAGAACAAAGAACGAAGAGAAAATCTGGTGATTTTCAATTTATTTATTGTTTTTATTTTGCACTTTTCTTGTTATTTCGTTTTTGCCTTAGGTTTCAACAATTTCTGTCATGATTTTTCGATTATTTTGTTAATTTTTTTAATGGAGTTTAGCAGATTCTTAGGCACAATTAATCCCAAATTGTTGAAGTTGTTTTCTCATCGTGAAAAGGGAAATTTTGCTTTCAGGGTTTTGCAGGTGTGAAATTGCTTTTTCCTTGATGGACGTAGGGGGAAGAGCATATAATGGAATTGACAATCTCAGTAGATTACCTGATGAACTTCTTCTGCGCATCATCTCATTACTTCCCATAAAGGATGCTGTTGGTACCTCTATACTGTCAACCAGGTGGAGGTATCTTTACGCCTCAATGTCTAATTTCCTACTTGATTTCCGATATAATGAGGTGGCCAATCCACTTGGTCCCATGAATATTTTGGATAGGCTATTCTATTTTCGTGACAGATGTCCTATAAATAAGTTTTATATTAGTTGGTCAGTCTCAAAACATCTCCACCCATTGCACATTCAAGGGTGGATCCAAGCTGTAATGTGGCATGGTATTCGCGAACTTGATTTAACCATTCCTTCCAACGTGGTGCTGCCTAGTAGTCTATGTACTTGTAAGACATTGGAGGTTCTGAAATTGGATATGCGAAGTGAGCGGGACATGCAATTCAGATCTGATTTCTCTGGTTTGGAAGTCCCTGCCAAAGTTTGTCTCCCAAGGCTTAAGGTTCTTTACCTTATAGAAATCACTTTTCCAGATAGTGATTCTTTTAACAGGTTGTTTTCCAACTGCCCTGTTCTTGAGGAATTGACCTATAATTTCTGGGACAATGACAATGGCTGCAAATTGAGTGTTTCTAGTCCTACACTAAAGAAGCTGGCCATACAGTACATGTGCTCTGAAGGGTGGTCGGACAGTTTTGAGATTATAATTAATGCCCCAAGTATTGTTTTCTTGGGATATTGTGTTTGTGATGTAACCTCTCATGCATTTCTAAATGTCCAATCCCTTGTTGAATCCAACATTGATTTTGAACATGAATTTGGTGATCATGGTCGTTACATCCATGCTGCTACTGAACTTTTCAGAGCGATGAGCAAAATTCAGAAGCTTCGTATAAATTGCTGGACTCTAATAGTAGGTCTTTCGAACCAGACCTCATGGATGACAACAATCAGTCATTAATTGCCTTCTTTCCTTATTCAGTCAATTTTCTACTGCCAGATATATGCAACTAACCACAACATTCCTTTTGCAGAGTCTCAAAGAGTTCAGTGTTCCAATCCCTGTGTTTCATAATATGACTTGTCTGACAATTGCTCATTGTGAATATGGATTAGAACCACTACCAGATTTACTTGCACAGTGTGAATCTTTAGAAACCCTTGTTTTTGAGGTATGTGATCAAATAACTGAAATGATCATTATTTTCATCTAGAGTAGAAATTATATATGAATTTTATTCTATGTTTTCTGATTAGGATTACTGCGAGTGGAATGCTGATGCTTGGAGCCCACTACAGGAATCTAAAATCAGTTGTTTGTCATCTCGCCTGAATATAATAGAAATTTTTTCATTTGAAGGTAATGAAGATCAAATTGAAATGGTCAAGTATTTTCTGAAAAGTGCAAGAGTCCTAAAGAGCATGAAAATTTTTATGGGGGAAAAAGTTTCTATAAACACTGAAGGGCTACTAATGTTACCAAGAGCCTCAAAGGAATGCAGTGTTGTTATTTTCCCCTTTTGTGGATTTTAAATCCTCCATTGTTGTTTATGTTAATTTTCTTTTGTAAGACATGTCACCCTTTGGTTTAGTTATAAGACTATGAATTGTCGCAGCTGTGTTGATCTTTTTTCTACTTAATGCATCTTAATACCTACCTTTACCGTGGATGAAAGCTCTCCTATTTACAACTACCATTACATGATAAAAGTGGTTTAAGACTTTTAGGTGAGATGGTCCGATCCATAATTATCTTGTAACAACATTGCCACTAGAATGAATTGGGGTTACTGGTTTCAAAACTTATCCTTTTGTTCTCATCTTAAAGAATGGAATTGCCTGCAATACTCAACGTCATCTTCTGTTCATTTATTCAATCTTTTGCCTTGCTTTGTTTCTATTTTGTTGTTTGGACTGCAATAAATTAAAAAATAGAATTTTTGAATTCAGCCTTAAAAAGGTAGGGTCCGGTTAAAAATCTAATATTTCAATTTAAAGATTTTAAGTTTGAAATTTAAGTTGGTTAGAAAAAAAATTTGAAAAAATGAGAGAGTTATCTTTTCTTATATGGTTTATTATCAAATGTATTAAGAAAAAGAAGTTTTGAATTCAGTTTATGTAATAGGATTGAAAATGAATAAACTAAAAAAATAATAAAAACAAAGAAAGTGATTCAAAGTATTATAGATAATAAGGAATTGGAGGCTACAGATCTCTTTGTATACTTTTATATTCAAAGAAAATGATTCAAGATGTTTAATCTTTCTCGAGAACAATTCGATAAGTCTTAAACATTTAAATTACCAATATATCCTCATTTTTACTTTTTCAAAATTTTTGTAATATTATTGATAGGCTTGCCCTGTAGAACTGGGTAAAGCATCAGCAGGTATGATTCAACCGACTTGTTCACTTTTTAAACTTTTGCACTTTTTCAGGCAGTTATCATGCCTCCATATTTGGGCAAACTGTTTTGATTTTCTAAATTTAGAATTTTATTTAATAATTTAATATATTCAAATTTTATTACATCGATTGAATTTAATCAAATAGTATCTATACACCATTGGATCTAAATCTCACTAATCTCCCATCTTTCCTCATTTCACACCCCCATCCCCACCTGTATCTTCTCTTGCCATATATATAGTTTCATTTCATCCCTAACAATCCCTCTTCAGCCTTCTCCTTTGCATCAAAAATTCTTTCTTCCTTTACAATTTCTATTCTTCAAATTAGATTTTTGAACAAAGCTTTTGTTATTAAAAATCCTTTACAAGACACAGCCCTTGATGTTTCAGCTATCAACCCATGAAGACTTCGTACAATATAGCACATAGAAGACCTCAAACCACTCATTCCTATTAGGAAGGAAAAAAAGAGATGAAAGCACTCATAAAAGTCTAGTGATCAATATCAATAGGTTACCTGATGAGGTTTTATTGCAGATTGTGTCATTTCTTCCTTTAAAAGATGCAGTTCATACCTCTATACCATTGAGAAGGTGGAGGTATCTCTACACTTCACGTTCTAATCTTATCTTTGATTTTGGAGGTGTCAATGATTTTATCTCAATTGCTCAGAGTTACAAGCTCTTGATCCTTTACGCCTTGAAAGGTGGATACATGTTGTAACATGGCATGGTATTCGAGAGCCAGAGCTTGATTTATTTGTTGCTGCTAACGTACTGCTTCCAACTACTTTGTTTAATTGTAAGACATTGGTGATTCTGAAGTTGTCTCCCAAGCCTTAAGGAACTTCAAAATCTTGATAGTGCTACTTGTTTTTCCAATGATGATTTTACTAAAAGCTTCCTTTCTAACTATCTAGTTCTTGAGCATTTGGACAGTAAATTTGAAGATGAGAATTGCAAATTTATTGTTTCTCTTTGTACACTCTTGCCTTAGATTACATGTACTATGAAGGGTGGTCTAGAAGTTTTGAGATAATGATTAATGCCTGAGGTCTTATCTACTTGGAATACTTTGTGATGTAAACTCTCATACATTTGTAAATGTGTAGTCTCTTACTAAAGCCAATATCTTAACGGCATTATAATCATAATATAATATTAAAGAAACATGACATGATATTAAAGTTTATCAGTTAAATTTGTAAAAAAAATAAAGCACAAAATGCTTAAAATTACATCATTTTAATAAAGCAATTTAAAATATTTGGAAAGCTTTACATCATTTTATTAGTAATGATTGGTTATAACAATTATAATAAATTACATCTTATTAGACGATCTATCTATCATGGTGAAGGATGACGACAACGTGGTCATCGGACTTTGTATTTTGGCTGGTAAGTGCGATGCACAAGAGGACGATGTAAATTTTGAAGTTGTGTAGGTTTTCAACAATTTAGTGGAACAGAGAGGCTTTGTCATGGTAACCTTCTATGTGAGTGCTTGGATGAAAAGGAGTGTGAAATGGTTGTGTGTTGAGAGTTGAATCGTGGCACTCCTCTATTTATTTCAAAGCAAAATAGTGCGATAATGAGAACTAGTGCAATAGGTTTCCATCAATGTTGATTGGAGACAAGACAAAGAAAGCAATGGCATTGGTTTGAGATTGAATGACGACAAAAAAGAATGCAAAAGAGTTGTTTAGGTCGAACTACTTATTAATCTAGTATAACTTATAAATTTATTAAATTATCCTTAAAATATCTATTCTTATATTTTGGATGGTAGATTAAGAAGAAGAAAAAAAAATGAATTTAGATGGTAACAATTAATGAAACGAACTGAACCAAAGTCTGTCACTAACCTAACAACTTGAGGAGCCAAGGTGCATGATCCTCAAAAGTTTAAGTTCAAGTTTTTCATAATGGTCAATCATGACAATTATATACTAATTGCACTCATGCTTTCATCGCAATGTGGAATTTGAGGCCTTATAGTCTCCTTCACTTAAATGTTTGATGTTCTCATCCAACCTTATTACAATTAGAATAATACCAACTGACCCACAAGCATAAGATCTATGTCAAGTGATGTTAAGACCACATTGTTACTAGCCATGATAGTATAGGTTCAATCTTGTGAGAGTTAACCACTTTGATAGCAACTAAAATGACTTGAACCAAAGCCAACCACTAGCCTAACAATTCTTTAGGCCAAGGACAACAAGCTTGAAGAAGAAAAATAAGAACAATTTCACATATTGTATGATTCACATATTGTGTGATTTTGCTTTCATTTAAAAACAAAGCGCCACAATCCAATCTCTTAAAACACAATTGATTTTGCATATCACACAATCTCACTCTCACTTTCACCTAACCATTATATTTGAGCTGGCAATTAGTGAAGCCACCATGTTCTGTTATGTAATGAAAAAGCTATAAAACTTTGAAATTGAAATATTTTAAAATGTTGAATTTAGTATATGAATTCAAGGAGCAACTGTTCCAACAAAGTCTAGTGTGCCAATTGATGCAATGGGAAAACTCAAAATATTTGGGAAGCCGTCTTGCAAATGAATCTAGAGGTTTCCTCCATTTACTTCGCCTACAAAGTCCAAAGCTGTGAATGATAAAGCAAAATCAAAGGCACTTGTCATATTAGCATTTTCATATTCATGTTTCTATTGCTGACCAATGATCTCAACACCCTACACAAAATTATAGAGAGTCCATAGGTGAAAAAAACAAGTTCATTTTGAAACCAAATGCCACACAATATACAGTGGAATTAGAGTTTGCTATCACCAATATGAGAGATTTTGATAAAGTATGTAGCTACTTTAGTAACATTTAAACTACCAATACATCCTCATTTTTACTTTTTCAAAATTTTAGTAATATTATTAGTAGGCTTGCCCTGTAGAATTGGGCAAAACATCAACAGCCTTGATTCAACCAACTTGTTAGCTTTTAAAGTTTTGCACTTTTTCAGGCAGTCATTATGCCTTCATATTTGGGCAAACTTTTTTGACTACCTAAATTTAGAATTTACTTTAATAATTTAATATATTTAAATTTTATTACATCCATTGAATTTAATCAAACAGTATACTATAAACCATTGGATCTAAATCTCACTAATAATTTGTTTGCTCCCATCTTTCCTCATTTCACGCCCCTATCCCCACCTGTATCTTCTTCTTCCTTATATATAGTTTCATTTCATCCCTAACAATCCATCCTCAGCCCTTTCTTTTGCATTGGAAATTCTTTCTCCTTTTCCAATTTCTATTCTTCAAATTATATTTTTAAACAAAGCTTTTGTTGTTAAATATCCTTTACAAGACACAGCCTTTGATGTTTTAGCTGTCAACCCATGAAGACTTTGTATAATAAAGCACATAGAAGACCTCAAAGCACTCATTCCTAGTAGGAAGGAAAAAAAGAGATGAAAGCACTCATAAAAGTCTAGTGATCAGTATCAATAGGTTACTTGATGAGGCTATATTGCATATTGTGTCATTTCTTCCTTTGAAAGATGTAGTTCGTACGTCTGTACTATTAACTAGGTGGAGGTATCTCTACACTTTAAGTTCTAATCTTATCTTTGATTTTGGAGGTATCAATGATTTTATCTCAATTGCTCAGAGTCACAAGCTCTTGACCCTTTGCACCTTGAAGGATGGATACATGTTGTAACATGGCATGGTACTCGAGAGCCAAAGCTTGATTTATTTGTTGTTGCTAACCTACTGCTTCCAACTAGTTTGTTTACTTGTAAGACATTGGTGATTCTAAAGTTGTCTCCCAAGCCTTAAGGAACTTCGAAATCTTGATAGTGCTACTCGTTTTTCCAATGATGATTCTGCTGAAAGCTTACTTTCTAACTGTCTAGTTCTTGAGCATTTAGACAGTAAGTTTGAATATGAGAATTGTAAATTTATTGTTTCTCGTTCTACACTTAAGATTCTTGCCTTAGATTGCATGTACTATGAAGGGTGGTTTAGAAGTTTTGAGATAATGATTAATGCCTGAGGTGTTGTCTACTTGGAATACTTTGTGATTAAACTCTCATACATTTGTAAATGTGCAGTCTCTTATTGAAGCCAATATCTTAACAACATTACAATCATAACTTAATATTAAATAAATATGATATGATATTAAAGTTTATCAGTTAAATTTGTAAAAAAGTTAAGCTCAAAATACTTAAAATTACATCATTTTAATAAAGCAATTAAAAAAAAAGGGACTAAAATAACATCATTCATGCTTTAAAAATTAAGATGTTTTAGTTTTTTTCAATAAGACTATTAAACTGATATAGTTTTGAATATTTTCTCAATTTTTTGTAATAGAGGTTGATATCAATTTTTCATACACAAACGTCCCAATCTCTACATCACCACCACCACCACTCCAACCATTCTATATTATTATACTTCTAACTAGTCAAGTCCAAGCCTGCAATTAATGAAGCCACCGTGTTTCGTTGCATCATGAAATTAACCCTGCCATCTTACATACCTCTCACTAAAGGGTCTATCTATCATGGTGGAGGATGGCAACAATGTCGCTCTATACTTTGGCCAAGATGTATGATTACTTTAGTTGTTTATAGTTTGGTTCAACCAAGTTGAGTCTTGGAAACTTTCTTGTGCAACTTGACGAAGTCCATAGAGGAGCTAGTGACAAAATTGTGTTACTTTTCAATATTGATGCAGTAGATTACGAAGAAGAAAAAAATGATTTTGGGTTGTAGTTATTAATGAAATGATCCAAATCAAATTTTGCCACTAGCCTAACAACTTAAGGAACCAAGGTTCACGGACCTTTAAAAGTCAAAGCTCAAGTTTTTAGTAATGGTTGATCATTACAATTATATACTAATCGTACTCATGCTTTCATCCCAATGTGGGATTTGAGGCCTTACAACCTCCCTCACTTAAATGCTTCATGTTCTCATCATGTCCAATTACAATTAGAATAATGCCAGTTGGCCCACATTCACAAGATCTTCTAGTGATGTTAGGACCACATTCTCATCGGCCATGATAGTCTAGGCTCAATCTTGTAAGAGTTAACTGCTTTGATACCAACTAAAATGACCTAGACCAAAACCCACCACTAGCCTTGGACCAAGGGCTACAAGCCCAAAGAATAAAAATAAGAACAATTTCACATATCATATGATTTCACATATTGTGTGTGATTTTGCTTTCAACTAACACAAACGCCATAATCCAAGCTCTTAAAACACAACGATATTGCATATCACACAATCTCACTCTCACTTTCACCAAACCAATCATGATAAAGCTTGCAATTAGTGAAGCCATCGTATTTCGCTACACCGTGAAACAAAGCTTGGAAATTGACCTCACCATCTTGCACACCTCTTACTAGAGGGTTTATCTATCATGGTGGATGATGACAACAATGTGACCCCATACTTGATGATGACAATGGTGTGATAATGAGAAATAGCGCAATATGTGTCCATCAATGTTGATTGGAGACAGGACAAAGAAAGCAATGGCATTGATTTGAGATGGAAAGAAGACAACAAAGAATGAAAAAGTGTTGTTTATGTCAAACTTCTTATTAATCTAGTATAACTTATAAATTTACTAAATTATCCTTAAAATATCTATTCTTATATTTTGGATGATAGATTAAGGAGAAGAAGAAAATGAATTTAGATGGTAATAATTAATGAAATGAACCGAACCAAAGTCTGCCACTAGCCTAACAACTTGACGAGCCAAGGTGCATGAACCTCAAAAGTTTAAGTTCAAGTTCTTCATAATGCTTGATCATTACAATTATATACCAATCGCACTCATGCTTTCATCCAATGTGGGATTTGAAGCCTTATGGTATCCCTCACTTAAATGTTTGATATTCTCATCAAGCCTTATTACAATTAGAATAATGCCAACTAACCCACAAGCACAAGATCTACGTCAAGTGATGTTAGGACCGCATTGTTCCTAGCCATGATAGTATAGGCTCAATCTTGTGAGAGTTAACCACTTTGATACCAACTAAAATGACCTGAACCAAA